ATGGTTTCTGCATGCACTAAGTATCGTTTGCAGTTGGCAGCACCGCATTACGCCTATTAGCGAGTTATGAAGTAACATTTTTCCACAAAAATCTTTTCTGCATGTTCATATTTTTCAGTAATGTAAATTTGGTTAAGTTTCAACTGCTACATATAATTCCTACAGACAGCATTGATTCAAAATGCTTTAAGACGAACAATCATTTATTGTGACATTGTCACAATGCATGGATGCAATTTTGAATTTAAAATATATGCTCTCCATCTAAATTAGTGGTGGCTTGCCCCTGTACATCATACTTTTTCTGTGAGCAATAGAGTAATGCCAGTCATCTAACTCCTTCCAGGGAAAAATTTTTGAATTAAAATAACGTGACTTCCGATACAAATCCGAAGTTCGTATATAGTTAATTAGGACCACCTGCCCCAAGCTTTCCAATATCTGGTCTGGACTTTCATTTATCTGTCAAGTTCACCCCTTATAAAAACAAAACGGTTCCTTGAACAGGAGGAAGCGGGTCGGCGCAGATGAGTCTGAAAGACGATGCTTTCAGAGAGGAATTTTGGGCGAGGAGGAAAAAAGCTATCGGATGGACTGGTAGAGATGGCAGACCTCGTGGTTGCGTTGGTGTTGTTCTTGTATGTTAAATGTTTTTTGTGTCGAGAAATAAATGTGTTCACGAGGTGCATCGTCTGACTTAATTAAGGAGCCAGGACTATAGTCCCTCAGAATGGTGCAGTCTACAGGATTAAGTCAAGAGCGATGTAGTGTTGGGACGTCTTTCTTCAGAAAATTACAGCAGTTGGTCCAGCGAGAACGTTTCCTTTCTATCCCAGGGCATTTATACGGATAGTTTCTTTTTGGTGTATATCTATTGATACGAGTCATACGACATCGAGGAATAGGGCACTCATAATTATATATTCAATAATTTAGAGTCTTGAGATTGCTGTCGTTGTCTGGTAAGCTTATAAATATGTTCAAAGAGGATTGATAAATAAAGGTTCAGAGTAGCAAACAGAAATAAGCTTAACTCGAAGGATTTGTCATAAAAGAACTTCTTGCCTCGAAAATTGTTGAAAGTGCTATCTCAAATACAATAGTATTTTAGTAATGATTCTGTTATATCTACTACTGTATTTGAGATATTACTTTCATCGAAAGATTTGGTTACGGAAGTGAGTGGATGAGCAATGGGAAAGAAACAAAGATTGGAGAATCTCCTTAGGAATTGCCTCAGAGAAGACAAACGAATTAACGCTGTGAACTGAAGAGATTACAAATAGAATGGGAAAGGGAAAGCTTGTTGGAAAAAGAGAAGCTCGCGCTCGAACGTCAGAAAAGGCAGAGCGAGAACACGAAATTAGGCTTAAGGAACTTAGGCTTAAGGCCAGTCATAACTACAAAGGCGGGCTTCAGTCAACCGCAAGTCAGGAAATGGTGGACAACGTTGTTATGAAATATTTAAATTTGATGAAAGATATTCCATTGAAATGTTTTCTTTTAAAAACCGTCAAATCTTTCTGGAGGAACCTGTAGCCATATATACTTCATTACAATGTTGTACCATTATTTCTGGAAATGAACATTTTTCATTCAAACTCACGTTCCAATAATTTTCTTTCTTTATCCACACACTAATTTCTTTACACAAGCAATGTTTTTAGTTAGGTCCCACTATGATGGTCTTACCTTTCAGAGACATCTATAAAATTAAAATTCAACAAACTAATAGCAAATAGCCACGCCAATTAAAGCATTAGCCTGCAGCTCCAGACAAAATCAAATACAGGCAAGCAATCACTGGAATTTTCCATTTGATTTTCTGACCTGGATGTAAAGTTCAATCTGTCACCACTATTATTGCCCCGCCCAAATCCACGATAGTTATGATTAATTAAAAAGGATCTTAATGACACAACAGAAAGAGCAATAATAAAAAAAATCAACAAATCTTTCCGACTGTTACGAGAGAAAAATCAATGTCTTTGTTATCATTTAAAGTATTCCTGTTGATAACAGCCATAGCTGTAATAAAAGTCAGTACAGAAATGTTCTTTCACTTTCATCTTTACTGGCAGTGCAACATAAGTGATTACAAGAAAATGACAACACAAGTTGTCCAGATACAAAGTGGATGCTGTTTGGTTTGTTTGATGGAATTCAGCAATGCAACACTCGAATATTTCCATATCTCATTAAGATGAGTGCCTCCTGGAAGGACTTATTTGAAGGAAACTGATCCCTACTAACAGTAGGTGTTAGACCATGAAATTTATGCATGGCCAGCTCATTAGTGAGACTGAACCTGCAACCAACTACCAGCATTCAGTGGTTTATCCATTCAACCATCATAAGGTGAACGTAATTTAGTGGTCACACATTCCAATAAGGATAGAAAATTATCTCCTCTCAATATTTTTACAAATCTGGAAGTTTTAATACTTACCTATTTACCAGTAGTTCATTAAAGGCTATATGGCTATTACTACCAAGATAGCTGATGCGATCATGGCTTGGCAGTAACAGCCATAAAGGCATACTGGCCAGATGACTGAGCAATCAAGGTGGCATCATACTGCTCTAGGGGACCCGGGATCAAATACAAAAAAGCCCCAGGAATTTTTCTGGGAGTGGTCCATTCACATATGTTGGGCCCTGTCCCTCACCACCCAGCCACCTCATTGTGGGCCTGGCTGAACCCATAATGGGCATGCTAAAAGAGGCTCTCTTAATGTAAGCAGAGAGTTAAAAAAGCATACAGACATAGTAATCTGTGGCGTGCGATCATTGGAAGCTGTGGAAGCGTCGCTTCCCTTGTATTTTGTAAAAAATAAGTACATATTTTATATACAATTAAAATTAATATTTTATTATAACCGCATTATGTATCTTATTACAAATTTCTATACTACACGTGAAAAAAACGATAAGATTGCTATTGTATATTCAAATATTAGTGGCGGAATGGAAGCGCTATATTGTCAGCTTGCAAACAGCCAAGATTATACTCATTCGCGCATGCGCTTTACAGAGCACCAACCTCACTCGGTTTAGCTGGTGGAAGCTACACATACCAAGGTCCTAGATTATAACGCTTCCAATTCTATCCAGGACCGATTCTGGGCTGTTAAACAAAACCTTAACCGAACCAATCTCTAGCCGAGTACAATGGGGACTGGTTTCTTCGTAATATTAGACGTAATAAAGACAGAAATTTTCCCAGTTCAACGAGAGTGACCGAAAAGTTGTAAATGTTGGAAATTTCCGTGGACTCCTGGTCTTAAAACGAATTAATTAGAAAATAAATGATTTTTAAGTTTAACAAATTTACATTTTTATAGCTATGGTGAGAAACATTTTAAATCTACAACAATCCTGTCGCGTCCTTTGAGATATACTAGTGATGCGACAAAAGAGGCATTTGACATTAACCTGTTTCAGCACCCTCGGGATTTGGCACGCTTGCATTCACTGCAAACCTCCAAGACTGTCTCTGGTTCCATCCACGAGCCACTGGTAGAGAGCAATTTAACTAAGTCAGTGGTTCTTAACCTGTGGTCCGTGGACCACTGGTGTTCCCTGAAAGCATCCGAAGTGGTCCGCGAAAGTTATCCCAAAATTATTAAATAAATGACGACGCGTTGATGACAATGCGCAGTACGTCAAGGTTAGAGCCTATAGCGGACTGGGCTGGGGTATGGTGCGCGGTCAGAAAATATGAAACTGGAAGTCACTAGCAATAAATTTGCATTTGAAGATAAAATCAGTGCGTATATCGCTAAAATCGACCTATGGATCAGCAAAGTCGAAAGAGAGAATATTTCTGCGTTTGATACATTGAACCCAATTATTGATTGACAGTGTGCTGAGATTAAAGGACGAATACAAAAGAACATTACATTCCATTTGCAAAGCTTGTAAAATGAATTTAATCGCTATTTTCCTGACTGCAAGGACAAAGATATTCGGAAACTGATTTGCAATCCTTTCATAGTCAACATTTCTGAGGTGACGGATGAAATACAAAAAAAGTTAATTGAAATGCAAAATGAAAGTAACTGCTAAGATATATTCGAGACAGGAATTAATCTTAAAGATTTTTGGAGCCAAAAAGCTATTGCTTTCCCTAAAATTCGAGAAATTGCTTTACAGTGCCTAACTTTATTTTCAACCACATATGCGAGCAAGGATTCTCAGTGCTTTTGATAATTAAAAATAAACATCGAAATCGGTTGGATGACAGTGCCGACATGCGTTTCCTTTGAGTAGAACTGAACCAAGAATTCAGCAGCTGGTAAACAGTATGCAGTCACAAAAATCGCACTAAAATAATGTAATTAATGTAAAACTTTCGCAAATAATATAATACTTTTGGTTCCGAATAATTTTCTACGTGTTCAATTTATAGAACAACCTTATAAGAACCTATATTACTGCCAAACAGCTCGTGGTCCATGACAAGACAAAAATTTTGATAAATGGTCCCTCATCACTAAAAGGTTAAGAACCACTGGTTTNATGTACGAAAAAATATATTAATCTATCCCATGTTGAAATTTCGTCGATGTTAAGCCTAACGTAAACTTTTTAAAATAATAATCGTGGCTATTGTATCGTTAAAAATGGTTTCTTTATGTTTTACAAACGAAATAAATACATTGAAAAATATAAAAAGAAATAAAAATTATACTTTAGGCCGACTGGAATTCTTTCGGATAACCGACGGTCTACTGTATATAATAGAAAATTTAATTCTTGAAAAACGTTTTTAAAGACGAGAAAATTTAATTAATATTTTAAAATTATACGTAAATGCGCCATCTTGCCCCACCCGTGGGGTAAGACGGGAATATTATTTTTATATACAAGAAAAACAAATTAAAATGGTTAAACTGTCGTTTTCTTCAATATTGGCACAATAACAATGCGCCCATTTATCACAGCGGCTACATTTATTATTATTTTCCGAATAAATAAATATAAAAGTTTCAACTTACTCGTACTTACTGTACCAGACGATAGTCACTTCGCGCATGCTCAGTTTCGCTATTTTGTAAGCAGACGATATTTGCTTTGGTCAGAGTTGGTAGATTAACTGGTCTTTCGACTAATAGTTCAAACTTAGCTAGAGACAATATTTGCCGCTAGTCGGCGCCACTGTTAGAAGAAGAGAATTGGTCTTGTTAGGTATATACTGAAGTCTGATTTTGACCTATAATAATTGGTTTTTTAGCTACATAAAAATGCCAACGTGCTTTGTGCCAGGATGCAAGTCAGGATATAAGTCATCGAACGAGAAGAGACATTTCTTCCGTGCTCCTAGCGATAAGATTAAGGAGTGGATGCGATTCATTCCACGAGACGACAGGATGCTAACAAATAAATGTTACGTTTGTGACGTACATTTTGCTAGTAGATTTATTTTAAAAACCTTCTCCCATGTTATAAATGGAGAGAAAGTAGAAATTCCACGAGATCGCTGGGAATTAACGTCGGATGCATATCCATCAAACTTCCCTAATTGTCCTAAGTACATTAGTAGGTCTGTACCTCAAAAACCATCAACGCGATGTCTCACAAGAAATGAACAACCATCTAGGAAGGGATCACGAAAAGACAATACCAAAGGTAAATATTTGTTTTTCATGTAATTTTAATCTTCAGTGAATCATGTAATTTTTTGCCCTTGCTGAGTCGCAGTGCGTCTCTCGGATCCTGTGTTTTAATATAAAATTAAATTTTATCTATCAATTTCATCTATATTTAAGGAACATTTTATATTTAAAAAATGTTAACTAAAGATTGAGCTGGGTTAGTGAGATCCACTGTGATTCATTGAGGGCTATCTCTCTGTGGCCCATCTTTCCTTATAAATACTTTAAGATTAATTGTCTGATATTTTTTTATCAATCATTAGTTGATTTTAGCAACGAGCGAAGATAGGAAGTCGAAAGACCAGGTAATCTACCGACTCCGTTATGGTTACTAAATTATCAAGCAATTTTGTCGTTTTCGAGCATTTTCGTAATATTTTTTCTATGGGAAAGAGAAATAGCAGCATGCCGAATAAGTGTTTTGTGTCCTGGTGTAAGTCTGGCAAGCGCAAATCTCGTGAGAAGCGTCATTTTTTCACGCCATATCCGAACCTGTTAGATAAGTGGAGACATTTAATTCCTCGAAGAAGAGATTTAGAATTCTCCAAAAAGTCGAAAATATGTGACTTGTATTTTGATGAAAGATTTATACTTAAGAATTATGTGCATATAATTGAGGGTAAGAGAGTCGAGATGCCACATGGAAAATGGCAACTGACACGTGATGCTTATCCTACGAACTTTCCCAATTGCCCGTCATGTTTGCCTGTTAAAGTTCCTAAATTACGTCAGTCTCCAAGGAAGAGAAAAACTACTCCCAACGTAAATAACAATTCAAAAGTTGTAAAGGTATTATCGAGTAAGTAAAATGTCCTTGCAGTAATTTTGTTTAAAGAAGTTAATAAATTGAAGAATTAGAAGATTATTTTTACAGTCGTCTTAGGGTGCGACTATGTAGATGCGAGAGAGCGAGAAGAGGTGATGACGTTTCGTGCTCTCTGTTTCTCACTCCTGTTTATTACAACGACACAGACAAGAGTGAGAAACATAGCGTGAAATATCATCACCTCTTCTTGTCGTGTATTCTTGCTCACTCGAATCTGTGCAGTCGCGCCCTTAGAGTCGACGGCAAAAACGGCTCGATGTCTTCGAAAATAATCTTCGTAAACAATCCAGAACTTTTAAAATCTGGTAACAAAATTTTAATAAAGATATCTAAAGAATGTTTCTGATCTCGACCGAGGTCTGCTTTGGGTTTTTAAACCTGCAAATAATTATGAATACCCGAAAGAACAATCGGAGGGCTCCGAGCAGTAAAACTTAAATGTTTATAAAGTACGTCTATGAGAGACGGTAGATATTGTGAAAAATTTTTATTAATTTTTTTGTTTTGAAAGCCGAATCCTAATGATAAGAGATTGGCATTTTGATCATTTTTAACTCGTGTAATTAAAAAATTAAAAATTGTAGATTATTAAAAAATTAATCTACAATTTGTGTTTTTAAGGAAGGTTTTGTTATATCTTTTATATTATTTGATATTTTGAAATAACGTTAGCCAATGGTGCAATTGAAGATCCATCAAATTCGTGTTCTGATGTGTTGTTGTCATTGGGTATAGTGTGTTATGTACAAATAGCATAAATAAGTAGTACAATAATTGTATTCTTACATAATCTATGAAATTTGCATGCATTGTTTTGGATATTGCAGTGCAAACACATTGTATGGGAAGAAATCTGTTAAGTTATCTACAAATTTCACAAATTAATGTTGTCATTGTATTAATGATGCACGAGTGTTAAGGTCAATGAGATTACAATGATGCATGAGTGCTAAGGTCAACTGTGCAGATTACATACTGCTAAGTACAGATATATCAGAAAATTCAAGGACCAGCAGTTAGAAAATTGTAAACTCAAGAAGATTGCAGCTCTTGAAGATAAAGTTTCAGCCAATGAAAAGAATAGAAAAAACTTTCTGAAAGGGAAAAGATAGTTATTGAATGTATCTTTCAGTCAAACAAATCTCAGTTAGCAAAATTGTATAGCACTAAGTTGATTTTGGATTCATCTGTCTATGAATTCCTTCGAAGAAACAAGTTCTTGTCATTATCACATCCAAGTACTGTAGGAAAATATATATATGTAAATTTGATGCTAAATTTGGATTTGATTCTGATTTATTATCAAGATTAATTAATTAAAAGAAAAATTAAGCAATATGCCTGAGAAGTAATGTCATGTTTGTCTAATTTTTGATGAAATCTCTCTACAAAAGTGTTGAAAGATGCAATTAAATGGCTTGACTGCTTGGAAGATCTAACAGCTGTTAAAAACAATATCAGAAAAAAAGAATGGAGGCTTTCTTAGTAAGCAGACATTTGAAAGTCTGGGGTTAACATTGTTCAGCATTCTGGAATTGTCCAAGTGGCTTTTGTCACAGAAATTTTATTATGTTTTAACTAATCTTTTAATCAAGATCCACTTGAGGTATATATCTAGGCCAGAACTGTGTAAATTTATATAAACTTATACAACCTTAATATAAATATATTGACTTCATAAGTTAAGCTTTTATGGTCTTCCTCTAGAGTTAACATTAACTTTTTACTTATCTCAATTTTATTTTTTTTAGCAGAAACATTTTTGTGTAGTAGGAACTTATTATTAACATTGATTTATTATTTTAGCATTTTTTTGGTTTGATCTGACAAGGCTGTGGCACAACACATACCCAACCAATGTTCAGTTATTATATCGAATGATGAATGTCTGTTGCTTAGTGCATCAGTCAAAACATTTGTCTGCTTGTTGTAACAAAGAAGATGGATCACAAGTGCTGTTGAATCTGATATGTTCAAAAGATGTTGCTAGAAACATTACTGCGAAACAGCAGTTCAGTGATACACTTGAAAAAGTATTATGACAACCTCAAGAAAATGTTGATGTTTGTGATTTAACCTCTAAACTTAGAGACCATGATTTGTATTGTAAAAGGTATATTTGTGAATATAATACATAGCAGACTGTTTAGTCCTTAAAGTCAAACCCTTAAATGTATAGAGGCAGACAAAATTGTAAAGCAAAAGTTCTTGAACATTACAAAATATCTTATTCTGATTATTGATGAAATATTACTTTTGAATGAATTTAATCTTTACTGCCTTGGATGTATTGAAAATAATCGTAAATGTACTTTAACTGCTGCCCTTTTACATTTCTATGTGGTATGTAGGCTGCAGTTTTCCATGGGCTAGAAATTGAGTTTGCTTGTTCAAATGAGTATCATAATCAAGTATCATAATCAACTACTTTTTAGATATGGATAAATTAAATTTTGATATAATATGTCAGTAATTTTTAATATTTTAAAATTTTTATTTACAGTTTTAAATTCAGATAATTCTTTAAATATCTGCATTTAAAACTGTTATTTTATATTGCTATATATTGTATATTCAAGTTTTCTATATACATTGTACAGAAACAGAAAATTATCTGTTTATTTAATTGTGCATTTGCATTATTCTATATTGTATTTTTCATTGCATGTCTATGACAATTGGGAAAACCACAGTTTATTCTCTAATGCATTTAAGCAGCCATAGAAATTTAACTCAGATAAAAGCAAACTGTATTTTTTTTCGAATAATTTATTAATTGTAATACTACATAAAGTACACAGTTTTATTTGATTCAGTAGTGATAAACGGTATTTGAGATGCTTTACACATTTGTATTTTTGACATAGGAAATTGCATTTCTTATGACATATTGTGTGTATATATTTTGGTAGTATATAAGATTTTGCACCATTAAAAGTAGAGTATGAATGCATTTATTAATAGCTTACTTGTTTATAAGCAGTAACATGTCTTTTAGACTATCATTGCTATCACTTTCCATTCCATTTTTTAAACTTATCTTGAAGTCTTGTTCATTTTCTTTCTTGTAATAACTCCATTTGATTTTAAGAACTGTATATATGATTCTAAAAGCCTGATCTCTATTGACTTTTAATTCTCTCTAATCTGTTCCTAACCTTTCTTGGCTTCTTTAATTACTCTCTATCTCATTAATCTAGCTCCTTTGCCACTGAATTGTAGCATTTCGCGGCTATTTGTGTATATTATTTTTTTCCTCTATTTATATTTTGTTTGTTTTCCATTTGTCACTTGTTTGTTTTTGTGCGGATCCCTCTTTGTTTTCTTCCTTGGTACCATCATTTCTCTGCTGGCGGGATGTGCAATGTGGTGATTGGCCCAAGGTGTGGTCACATGGGATGGAGTGACATCCTTTCATGGGTGGTATAAATAAAGAGTAAACCACATGAAGAGGCTTTTTTTGTTTGTGGGATTTCTTTGTACATGAGGATGCCGCAGGTTGCGAGGACTGGGATGATAGATATTCAAGAGAATCGGTTGTCCAGGAATTGAAGAGATTTTGGATCAAAATGGAAATCCATTTGCATCGAGAAAATAAGTCAAGAAAAAAAAAGATAACCATCCAAAAGGTAAAAGGACTAGCTATAGTGTCGCATGACGTGTCGCATGACCAACGAATTTGTTTGGTCCAAACGGAAATCTTGTATGTATTATTGTATACTCATTTCCTCAACTGTGTATTTGATGTTACCTTAGTATTATCATTTCTTTTTTTTTTTTTTTTGTACGGTTTATCGGAAAAAAGGAGGATTTTGCATAAAGTAGGAAGTTCAGGAGAGGGATAATTGGGGTAAGAATATCATTGTAATGAGATTGAACTTTGTATCATGTATTGTTCCATTAGTCATGTGTTTGTTCCCAATAAACCCTTGTTTATAAAACCATGCTGTGTCACCGACTAGTCATAGTTTTAACTGTTCTTTTGTTCAATCCTGCAGACCATGTTGCTATGGGAGGTTTTTACAGAATTCTGCAATAATAATAATAATAATAACACAGATATGGGCTTAAAAGTTACATCTTGATACACTCCAAAATGCATTCTAAACCCCTTTTTTGTAACACTTACCTATCCTACACTTGCTTTAACATTTCTATACATTTCCATGATTAAATTTATACCTTTCATAATCCCTTTGCTGCCTGACTCAAAGAATTTATTGAGGGCATCACATATTAATAATGTGTAGATAGTCCTTATTATAACTTTGACTATCCTTCATTACCCATTATGAAAACTCCCAAAAATATTTTAAAATTAACACAAATTATAGCATAAAAGAAATTGACGAATCAAAGTAAAGTCTAAAATCATGAAAGTGACAGTTAATAATATTCTCTGGTGATATTGACATTTATGTATAAATAATGTTCAAAATTTTATCTTTATAAAGAATTTTGATTGTTTACAACTGACTGTCTATGCTTGATCCAAACTTATGCCGCAAAGCAATTGCAGCGTTTGAAGGGGCAGAAATATGCCACTTTCGTCGTGGCTTAAGCAGGCCACACTTTTGTAGCAATAGAGCTGTTGGTTACGTTCAGCAGAGTCAACAGTTGTAACTGAGCAAAGGTGTTTTACATGATAGCTGTTACATAGTTACATCTGCTGAATGATGAGTGATGTATGCATTGGAACAGGAAACAGCCATTGTTGGTCAGTTGCAGGTAGCAAAAGGTAGCATAAATGAAGGTTCATTTAAGCTTATTTAAAACTTATTATTTTTGCTATTTTGTTCTTAACTAACATCTGTATGAACCAAGCATACCATTGGTTTAATAAAAATAATAAAATTATAGACATATCCTTTCTAAACATTCACAATGTACAAAACACATGCATTGAAAAAAATCAGCAAGTACAAACCCAGAACTTTACCCAGGAAATAAGGCATTTTTGAAGGATGGATATAGTTCTTATTGTACTGTATCTGTTATCATCTCTACAGGTATCATACCACACACACTACACAAAACCCTGGAAACATTACAATTGAATAGAAACACATACACCACACTATAGAAGGTCTAACAATATTGAAAAAGTTTCATTTGAAAAAATCCTGAATACAGACACACACACTGACACACTGGTTTAATTTTTGTTTTGTTTTGGTTACTATGACTTGACTCTGGTCTTGCATAGTATACAGCATTTTTTGTCACACATAGTACACACAAGTTTATCATTTTTGTTTTTTAATGTTTAATAATTTTTGTTTTCCCATATGTTTTAGAAAATATAAATTGTAACAAGTAATTGTAAAAATAATTCATAAATTCTTGTAGTTAATTGCTTTTGTATTTCTGAAAAAAAAACAGATACAACTGTTTATTAATAGGGCATGATAGGAGAAAAATGGGCTAAACAGGGTCAAAGTGTCATCTATTGCCAGAAAATGGCACATTACTAATTTTAAAGCATAGTGGCATGACCATACAGGTAGCTTTCGGTTTACGCTGCAGTTCCATTCCTACAAAAGACGGCGTAAATCGAATCTGCATAAAAAGAACCCATATTTATGTGAGGTATAGGGTTAGGTTTTACCTAAGTGAAAAATAAGCAAATAATTTTGTTTATTAATACAATATAATACAAAATACATATAAATTTAATTTTTAAAATGTATTTTATCAAAATGATCATAAAATAAAATGAAATAAATTATCATAAAATAAAGTGAAATGTTTTTATTAAAAAATTTTAGTTTCGGATCTCTTACATTTTTTGGAAAAAAGTATCCATCTTTAATTGTTTACATTTTTGTTTTCTTTCATTGAGCATTTCGGAATATGGTCGAATGGATGCAATGATGCTTCTTTTTTCATTTGCACTTCGCTCCCAATCATTGTCTAATTCACATAATTCATCTGTCAAACTTTCCATAGTTGAAAGGATACGTTAATCCGACGTAGAGCTACAGACAAGCGGAGACACTGATTGGTTGATCACCGGTCACTGTAGCGCATATATAAGGTCAGTTTGAGCGGGAAAATTGAAGGTGGCTAAGGAGAGATAGATATCGTCTGGCTAACGAGAAGTAGATTTGTCTCACTAATGATAATTTGTGATTGTCGGAAGTACTACTGCGTCGTAAGGTATTTTCCTGAACGAACTGATACGGGATTAGAGGATTTGATCCCGGGATCTCGAAAATCGGGATCCCGGGATCCCGACCACTTTTCAGTCCCAAAATTTTCGGGATTAAGTTTTCCTAATCCCGGGATTTTCGGGATTGACATCATTTTAAAAAAATTGCAAAATAGACTGCATGAAGCGAAACGTTCAGTGCCAGTGCTTTTAACAGAATTGCTTGCCTATCATTTTAATATAAAATACAAGAAATTTTATTCCAAGCAAGCAGCAGAAATTAACCAAGCGGGCTTGCGATGCTTGCTTGGAATAAAACTTCTTGTATTTTCAACTAAAATGATAGGCAAGCAGTTCTCACTGGGTTACTTGGTAATATACTTCATTTTTGTATTTTTGAATTTTCGCGGGCGCCAATCGATTTTCTGGCGCAGTCAAGAGCACTCCTTAGTGCAATTTGTTTGTCATTTTACCAGAGGTAATTGCATGTGAAATGTAGAGTTCTCTTGTAATCTATAAATTAATTGAAAGAGGGTTTCGGTTTTGCCCCAATTAGTTTCATTAAATGGCTGGGAAAAAAAATACGGTTCAGGTATGAAATTAAAGCTCTTACCCTGTATGTGATGCTGTTGAAGTGAAATTTGAGAAAAGTACAACTGTGGTGGAGTGGCAAAGATACAATGTTAAGTCTACTAGAAGGCAGCCATGTGGGAATAAATAAACTTGTCAATTGCTTGTGCACCATCTAGCAATTCACTTTTTCAACTATTAGAACAATCTGTTTCTTATATCTACTATGAATTTCTGAATTTTTTGTTAATTATACATTAATTAAAAGACTTTTGCATTATCTAAATATATAAAATTACTTGTTCTGACTGACTGACTGACAATGATTGATTCATCATCACTCAGGGCAAATCTAAAGAGGTGAAATTTGGTACACAGTTAGGGTACGTCATAAAAAAAAAAAAAGATTTTTCAAAAATCTCACATGGGGGAGAGGACAAAGGCTTAACCTGAAGAACTGCTTCTACTGTACTATTTGTTTTCGACTACATTTAGACTTCATTGATGTATTAAATTGATAACATTTTAGACATTGTTCTAAATGTTTTTATATATTTCGATTTAACCAAATGTTTGAGTCGTCTTAAATTCAAATTTGTTATTGCATATTGGTTTGATTATAGAATGATTGTAAACGTTTTAGAAAACTGACTAAATTGAAAACAGTTCATTTGATTCTCAGCAATTCTCATCATTATCAGTGGTAGGTGTTATATAATAATTACTATGGTTGTTGAAATACTGAATATAAACGGGGTTTGCTTGCAAAAGCTGCATGGGCGAAGTCGTGGGTAACAGCTAGTTTTTTTAATATTAATAAATTTTAAATGCTTATGCTAACTATTTAAATAATATCTAGCATGGGTGAAGTTGTGGGTAACAGCTAGTTTTTTTAATATTAATAAATTTTAAATGCTTATGCTAACTATTTAAATAATATTAAGTGTCACTTTTACTTCTATATAGACTTAATGTTAAGAGTATATAACAACATTGTTGACTGTTAAAACAGTCAATGTAGTTAATCTTGCATGCTTTATATATATATTTTTTTTTTGTTTGTAATTCATATTTAATTTCCTAGTATAATCAATAATTTTAAATGTTTAACATTTACTTCAACAATTACCTTAAATTAAGCTAATTATGTTAATTAACGTATTAATTACGTTAAAATCAACCCATTTTCAATTTACTGATTTGTTTTCTTATTTAGCCCCGAGGAACAAGGACAACAGAAGCAACAGTCTGCAGCCATCGACGTCTAGACAGTCAACTGAAATGGAACTTATTCTAGCTCAAAGGCACGTGAACAACATTGTATCTGAGATAGTTCCAGAAATCGAGCAAAACAAAGTTTTAGGCATGGATACTCCAGGGCAAAGAAAGCGGAGAAAAAGAAGTCTTGCCAGTACTACCCGAGATCGCAACTATGTTAGACGTAATGGAACCAAAGTAGCCTATTCTCAGAAAGAAAAGAAAAATAATATAAAGTACAAAGCCACGCGAATAAAATACGTCGAAGAAGTTGTAGATTCTTCTCGAGATATGCAAATTCTTGACAATGCAGAGGCTGTAGAACAGGTCAAACTTACCACATTGGGATCCGGATGTGAAATTGGAAGAAGCTGTCGAGAGACAGGACCAGTGGGAGGAGCCTCTTGGTACCGGAGAACAGGTAAATGCAAAGAACCTGCAGAAGGAGCTTGCATATTAAATATGTAAACTCTGACTTTTTCATGTCATATTTACTTAGCATCTATATTTAGTCTATTAACTACTTAAATATTTGTATTATTATTTCTATGAGTTTATACCAGGAAAGTATCTGAAGTCAGTTTTTCACATTTATTGTAGACATGGCTTTACTGTATTTGAATTGATTAGTAATCATAGTTCTATTGTTTGACACTGTATGATCTAGAACAAACATCTCTCCCTACATATTAATGCCTCTTCTAGATAAAGCAAGAAAGGATTCAGTAAATAAAAATGTTATAATCATAAGGCAGGCCATCTGCTATCCTAATACAAAGAAGTCGAGGCACTAACTATTCTAATTTTGCATGCGAAAAAATAAATGTAGTACTGCACTATTATTCGGATCATATGTTTATCAGTCCAGCTTTTAATGATTATAGGACTTTTCCAAAAATTTTGGACCTTCTTATCTAGTGTTTGTTGCATCAATGCGCAATACTTTGCTTCTTATTCTGTATAGAGTCATAATGCTCCTTAAGATGCTGTCACAGTATGTTGATCCTATGTGGTAAAAATCCTCTTTTCCTTTATTATACCTGATCATATATATATACTTGCCAAATCCATTTGTTTTATTTTTATTTTCTCTTTGTTAGTATGTAGTAATTGCATGATGGAGGGGAGATGTTTAACAGTTAAAAGAAATGTCATTACCCCTGGCATAATGAATCAGGAGAGAACATATTCTTTATGGTAGCTACTATGCATATCTTCTGTTTAGTTGCTTGTCAGCTTTGCCACCATCTTCTGTAGGTCCTGCTGTATACATATTAACAGTTGCCTTAATTACATTGGTATGGGAGCCACGAATAATTGCCATTTGTATAATGAATAACAATCCCTGCTGTCTGTGTTATTAAAGAAGAATGTTATCATCATCCTTACTTACAATTATAACTTTTTATACTCAAAGAATCCTTTGTAGCTTTATCTAGACGAAACATTAATATGCACGCGAGAGATGTGTTTGTTGAAGGTCATATAGTGTTGGTAGCTGTGAGCCTGTGTATAATGTTATACCATTATATTGAATTCTTTTTTCTTTTTTGTACTGAAGAAATCGTACTGAACAAACTACCACCTAAACAGAAGTCAGTTTTCCATACAATGTTTAGGAGTTGTCTCTTTTGACAGATCATCAATGCTTTGCATTGCCATATCCATTAATTGACACCACCAAATATTTACTTTTTTGTTTTTCTTTTTCAATATTTCAATTAAACAGTCTATTTATGGTTATATCTATTTCATTTTGAAGTCTTGGTATGTGTTATATGCTTTTTATTGTTTACTATTAAATTACTTCTTAAATCAATTAAATTTTTCTGGTAAATTCTATTATTTATCAGAAAAATGGGTACTGGTATTAATTACTAGAAAACTATTTGATTTAGCAATGATTCATTTGTTCTGTTCATTTAGAAAAATTTATAAATGCTTGAATTTTGTTTAAATTTTTGGATATTTACAAATTTCTATTTTTATAGTTAAAGAAAGTACTTAAGAATGGAATGAATTTGGAGAAAATGTAGATGCTGCTGTTCTTCCTCTGGTCCACCAGTGGCCAATTGGATAAAACCATCAAACTCTATCAAAATCATTGTGCCTAATCAATGGGTTAGTCCAGTGTTTCTCAACCTCTAACGAGTTGTCGCTCCCTTCAACATAGTATCACCTTGTTCACTAAAATTGTTACTTAGTATTCAAAATTCACTTCAAAATTCCAATGCCCTTCACTTCAAAATTCCAATGCCAAGGGCCAAGGCTAATGCCAAATTTGTACTGCATTGAATAGACTAGTGACTAGTATAATGTTATTTGTTTAATTATTGTATGATATAACAAATAAAATATCTAATTATTCTTAATATAATGTTTTACTATATCACCCAGAAAATTGTTTTTTGCCCCCAAAATATAAATTGTTACTAATTGCCCCCGTTGAGAAACACTGGGCTAGTGAATGGATTTTACCAAGCTTTTTGTTGTGTGTAATGCTTAAATAGGAACCAGCTTTTTAAAGTCATTTCTTTGATATTGCGATCTGTAAACATAAATTAAAAGGAGGTGATTTGCTTGCTGATTTCTTAGTCCTTCTGAAGTCTTTTAAGGGCTACTGGCTCCTATTTAATCATTATAGATGTAGAAAAACCCAGAAAACTCCACTTGTTCAGTCTGTCCTGGTGAGGCACGAACCCAGAACCAAAGTATAAATGTTCAGGGAATGGAACCGCTTGACCACTGGTGGGCTAGTTGATTTCCTAATACTATATTATTGTACAGAACAGAAAGGAGTCAAAATGGTTCAAAAATTGTACACATAATTAAGGAATGTTCACTGATGTAATTCAGATTCATCTTTACTGAAGACAGAAAAGGGACATAAGTCACAATGAGAGCCAGTATTCAATCACAACATACTGGCTTGCTCCATTTGATAATCAGATACCCAAGATGTGAGATATCTAGGGTAACTACAAACTGGCTCTACAGAAATTTTTCATAAATATGACTTTGATATATCAAATCTCATCTCTGACTACCTTACCATTGCCACTGTTGGCTTCACTGTGGCAATGGTAAGGTGGTCAAGGATGAGTCAAGTCTACAATTGATATGAACAAAAGCTCTTTTCATGTTTGCAGGATAAATAATGTTTGAAAAATTAGTTTAATATGATCTGAGTAAGATTTTAGTCAATAAGATGGAAATAGTATTTGGAATTTATATAATTTTATTTTATTAGGTGACATGAATGAAGATGAAATTGCCATTAAAAAGAAACCAGAGTGGGACGTTGATGCCAAAATTGATCATTTGTCTCGTTTGCAATTTGAAATCGATAGCTCAAGTATTAAAGCCGAGCGCAATAGTACCGCTATGGAGAATGATCTGCCTGTAAGTACATTCATTATTTTGTAGTAGTCTAGTTTCTTAAATTTATTCTCTTCCATAAAACAGTATTAATATAACTTTAATAATCAATATGCTTATTGACTTTTAAAAGTTGTTTGAATGAAGAAATAATTAACAAATGTAATTAAAAATTGAATAGCATTTAGATGAGGAAATTGAAAATTATAATTAATTACACATTTTTGGCTGTTTTCTGGTTCCTCGATACCGGAACGATAGCCAAAAATGTGGCTATTGACAGCAGTGAGTGCCATGGAGAATTGTCCAGAGAACTGTGGATGTTTTTGGAACCTTAGAACTACTCATACATCTGTGTACAACTCATAATCATCTCCTTACTGTACCTGCACCTGCCAATGGATGTTGATTGGTTTTTGTCGAAAATCAGAAAACACTGCATCACTCTTGCTTTGTACATTAAGAGAAAGATTAAAAACTGTTTTAATAAATGATTGATTTTATATTGATTGAATGAAAGGAAGATAAACGCTGCACTTGAGAACACATGTCTAATTAACACATAGAAGCTCATATAGTATAGTGATTGCTATAGTAACTGCTGAAACACTTGTGGCTAATCCATTAACTGCCTTCAACTGATGCTCTTTCATTGAAATAATTTTTTCAGTGTGGAGGCACCTAACTGTGTTTGATTCCTAAAGGTCTATTTTCAATGTTTTTACTCAGATGACTAGATTTTGTTTGCAAGAAATACAAGGTCTGTTCAAAAAGTATCGGACCTTATTTTTTTCCGCGTAAACCAATGATGCGTGAGAGGCCTCCTTCGGTGGAGTTGTGGAGGGGACAGTCATGCACAGCCCTGAATTTTTTCCCGCCTGCAGAAAGCGTCAGTCGTTGGCAATCGGCGTATGAGTGAGGTCATGTAGTGCGCTCTCGTCGGATTTCACTAAGCTGGAAAATGACTGAACAACGTGAGCAGCGATATTACATCAAATTTTGCCAAAAACCTTGGCGATACCCGAGTGTAAACCATTCGCAAGATNGTTGTTATATTACATATAATAATCAACATTATTAGTGATATTTATAATTACATTTTAAATAGTTTAATAGTGGCTTCTCACTTGAATGATTATGAGTAATATTTGGATGCTCTTCAGAATGACATCTATAATTCTAGTGAAGAGGACAATGTTCATCATTTAATACCCTAGCTTCTCATTCTGTATGAATGCATTGCCAGTTGTACTACCTGGACTTGACTTCCATTCAATGTATCACATATAATAATCAACATTGTAAGTGATATTTATAATTACATTTTAAATAGTTTAATAGTGGCTTCTCACTTGAATGATTATGAGTAATATTTGGATGCTCTTCAGAATGACATCTATAATTCTAGTGAAGAGGACAATGTGCATCATTCAATACCCTAGCTTCTCATTCTGTATGGATGCATTGCCAGTTGTACTACCTGGACTTGACTTCCATCCAATGTATCACATCCAGACATATTTAATTTTAGATATGACCATTCTCGGTTAATTGTCTTGTTGACTGGGGACAACTTCAGTGCCCATGGCCTACAATCACCCACTATGGCACTCTGTCGGCCATTGCTCCACCTTGGCATATCGTAAATATACATATGAACATCTGAATCTCATCAATTCTCATCTTATGTTAGGTAGTGACAATGATATGGATGACAAAGAATATAGAGAGATTTTATTCTCTGAGTATCTATCTCTTTCTTTTCATTTTAAAGAACTGTGCCATTCTTGTACATATTGTCAGTCTCTGTTGTCGTCATGTAAAAAAAAGTTTCTTTTGCTTCTGTTTTATTTTTTAGTGTATATATATATTGTTTTTTTTTGTATACCGTCAATGATATTGTTGTAATTGTAAGAAAAACAAGGGAAATTTTGTATTTTTGTGTGTGTGCAGTGTTTTGGGCATTTTTTGTGTGGCAGCACTGTATTGGTGTGTGGAGGTGATGTATGGTATGCGGGATCGGTAACACGGATTTTGGTTCCTGGCGTTAGAAGGAGAAAGTGTGTCTATCAGGAGTGCTGTATGAAGACTCTTTGTGTGAACTGCCATGTGCTAAACCTATACCAACTTCATATACTGTGATCTTGTGTATAACTTTTGTACATAAAGATAGTTTTAATCGTGTATCTTGCTTGCCTCCTTCTTTTGGGGTAACCAAATTTATTCATCCCTGCAAATATTAATCCCACGGATTTTCGCAGATCTCACAGAAGCTTCTAGGCTTAAACATATTCATTCTACTAATTCTTCTCTTATTTCCTACTGCTATCTTTTCTTTACTAATCATATTCTCTCCCTTGTGTTGACAGAATCAAATATGTATATACAGAAAGTTTTTCACAGTAGATTGCATAATAGATCACTTCAATGGAGAAATTAGACTAAAACTACTATATCAGAAAGAAAATGCTTTTTGGCTGCATGATAAACTTGGTTTAATCAGAAAGCCAACAATTGTCATATCGGTCCACTTTCTGTTTTCAAGGGAAAAATGTTTAATTGCAGTTTCCCACGTGTGCTTTTTTCATCTTGTCAATAATAACAGTTTATCAGGTCCAGAACAACGTGATTGTGATCCCTGTGTGAAATATAAACCTTTTGTGGAGCATGCCAACATGGTGCTTAGGTAATATTATACTCCACATCAATAAATTAGTGTCAACAAAAGCATAGTAGGTACAGAAAATAAAACCAATCTGATGGAGTATTTGCCTAATAAACATCGTCAATAAATCAAAGTTTAGATGATGTGTAATGCATGGATTGTCTAACTAGTGTTTGGCATTTTACACATATAGAGGAGCCAAGTCAGTAGAAAACAAAGTCAATGTCCAGAAATTTGGTCTCAATTATATATTAGTGAAAAACTGCTTGAGATTCGTACCTGAAGAAGGGATATCATGTTTTTGTCAATAATTTCTTCGTATATGTGCTTGGGGTCTTCGTCACCAAATAAGCACATGGAAACAATCGGGACAACAAGGAAATTCCGGCATCTTTAATTCAAAAATAAATTTTAGTTGGCCAGAAAAGGTATGGTCCTTTAGATATGGGCCTCTTCTTGCATGTGCTTTCTGCAAGAAGCCATCTTAACAATAATTGCTAATACAGTAGATCCCCCTATAAGACGGTAGATACGTTCCGTTCTTTATGAATCAATTTTGTAGGAATCATAGTTTACGGACTACGGCTGTTTGAAAGGTTTTCTTTCATAAAATTAATCGATTCTAGACTAATTCGACTCAACATTTCCAAAATACGTATATTTTTTTGAAAATAATCCGTATAAACTACGTTATAAACAAAAAATTGTAGGATTGCTTACCGAGTGTGTACCGTTCGACTACGCCCGTTGCTAAAGCTTGGTTTCGTCGCGGAACAGCGCATCAAATTGCGGCCGCGATTTCTGATATTATTTTTCTGCGAAAACTTCGTTGACCTTTGGAGACATCATTAATATAAATAATTTTTATGGCCGTTAAATAAGAAATGTTTCTTTCACAAGAAATGTATAAAATTACAGTACTAAACAGACGATAGGTCGCCTAACTCGCCGTAGCGTGACGCTAGACGGCGAAAAATATATATTTAATTATAATAAAGTTACAATAAATTAAGTTAATATATAATTATATATACAGTACCTAATTTATATATAATTAATATATAATTATATGTACAGTACCTAATTTATATATAATTATATGAACAGACGATACTAAACTCAATTTATCCGCCTAAACATCCGTAGCGCCGCGCTACGGACGGCGGGAAAGTAGTTCGGCTGCCCGATGACGTTTTACGTATTATGGGAGTTATTTTTACCGTTGTTTACGGATTCTGCCACAATTTTTATGGGAATCATAACTATAAGAAACGGTTTTATAGGGGGATCTACTGTAGTTGTATGTCATTGGTCACATGTTGAGGCCAATAGTGCAAGAAAACATCAGAAATGTATGTTTGCCCAAAGATAATGATATTCAACATGCTCGAATGCTGAGTTATATCTGAAGAATAAGGATTGTAGTCCACACAAATAGTAAGTACATTCTTATATAACAGCATACACTACTCTGGTCTTACACACTTCGAGTTAACTGGCATCAGCTCCATTCTGAAAGCATTAAACCATTGATCAATACATGTACTGTACATATTGAATATATGTAGTATTAATAGTTATAACACTGCTTAAATATTGTTATAGTAGTTAATGTTATCATTTATTGTAATCATCCTTTGTGTTACAAATTTTAACAATTCTATCTTTTTGATAAAGCAATTGTTATAGTACTTTAATGCAATTTTTTTCAAAATAGTTGAAAAATGGAGAAGAGACGATATATAAAAATAACAGTGCATATTTTCAAGACAACTACATTTATGCAGATTTCAAGCATGAAATAAAAAAAGAATTTCGTGATGAACCCGAATGTACGAATGACACATTTACTGTGAATGGGAACGAGAATAAAGGTATGTTGAAATAACAAAGAGAAAGTATTTTATTTATAACAGATTTTTATACAAATAGTGTCAAACAGTTCTTGGAAATAAACAGTAATACACTAACCCAATTTTTAAGCAATGCCTAATGATCTGCCAAATTATTGGACTAATTTAATAATTAGATATAATTACTTCATATAAGATTATTAGATTAGTCTTAATGTAGCCTGGTGATTCAGAAGATTGTTTGGTATTTATGGAAATTTTTATTTTTGAAATTGGGACTGTTCATTAACAACATCCATATTGGAATACAACAAGTTGGACCAAGTCAGACAAGGGGGAAGGGTTGAGGTTTAGTGCACATCCATTTATCACATTAAATTGTATTCAGTTTTTTCATTTTATTTTATTTACTATAACCTTTTGATTTGCAGTTTTAATTGCAGACTAGAATTAAAAGAACCTTGAAGAACAAGCACAAGGATGGAAAGATTGCATGACCAAAAAAGGCTTGTGATTAAACATTCAGTAATGTGTAGAATGTGGCACTCATAAAAATAGAAAAGTCCTAATAGATTACTAAGAAATTATAAAAACTACAAAATTCAAATACTCAGGCTCCCTTATCTCATCTGACAAAACGCAACACCAGACGTTCGTGCATGAATCAGTGCAGCCTGGATGAAATGGAGAGAGGTAACAGAGATACATTATGATAAAAAGGTGCCAATGCATATTCAGGCAAAAATTGTCCAACCAGTAGCAATGTATGGGTCAGAATGCTGGAATTTCACAAAGAGCACGAACAGGAACTACATGTCATGGAAATGAGAATGTTAAGATCATTATTGGGTCTTATATGCTTTTATCACATAATGAATAACAACTTCAGAAAACAACTAGGAGTTAGGCCAGATATGGACAAGATGAAAGAAACTTGATTATGCTGGTAAGTACACATTATGCGCAGCAATAACAACTCAATGGCAAAAAGTATTCTCTATTATGACCCAGGAGAAATTATACCTCATGGACGCACCAAAAAACATTGGCCTGACCAAATCACAGAAGATAGGGAAACAATGAGAATTTTACCAAATAATGCATTAGATCGGGTAAAATGGAGGAATGAATGTAAACAATGGGTCCTGCACCAATGAAGATTAAATGCTAGAAAAGACGATTATATTTATTTTCGAATTTCCTGTGTTTCATTTCTACTTATGGTATCTGGCATTCATAAAGTGAAAAAGGTTTTAAGGAGTTTTGTTGGACATGTAAAGAGAGGAAAATTTTATTGAAACTTGAATAAGAGAGGGGAAGGAGGGAGGGATAATAAAAATTTCATGAAAAATGCAGATGTAATTTACTGACAGCCCTTAAGAAGATTTAAACAACTCTTTCAAAGTATTACTCTTGAGCAACAATACACTTGCTAGTGCTCATACGTAATCTTGAAGCACCTCTGGAAGACATTTTCCTCCACTTGGCATAGGGTAGCTTTTTCAGCCTTTTTATGTTCCTGCCCTTCACATAAGTTCTTACATATTCATACACACCGGTTATTTTTTTCTGACTTACTATGTGCGTCATTCAACATGTTTAATATATGTCAGTGTTTTGTTCCCGAAGTTACATTCTGTTACTAAACTCCACTCACAACAAGCAACGATTTCTACTATGTATCATTATGCTGCCTATGTGCGGAGCATTTGATGTAACAAGAATGGGTAGAAATAACTCTGAAAGAGTGCTTCAACTTAATGCAGTGTCATGTTTATTTATTTGGTTGGTATGCTGTATTGAGTCCTAACCATTTCTGAGAATGTTTTGATGCTTAAAAGCAAATAAGATATTAGCCTACTGTTGTCAGATGGGCTACGCCCTATTCTAAATTAATTTAAATTTCATATTTAAAGAAAAATGTACTCTGTCTTTAAATATCTAAATTATTTTCATGTTTTTCAAGTGTCTGAGTCTTCCATAAATCCAATATTTATTATTTTGTATGTAGGATTTTGCATATTGTAAAACATTTTTATTAATAAAATATTACACTAGTATATAAAATGATGTGATTTAGAATTCATTAACTTTATATACAGTAAGTTTTTAGATTTCGTATAAAATTAAGCGTTGTTTCTAAGCTTTATTTATTCTTTTAGAAAACGTACAAGAGGAAGAAAGATATCTGACTGTGAAAGATTTACGATGGAATAATAATAATCCTGATATTCTGCTGGATCCAAAATTAAAATTACAATGCAAAGTTATTTGTGAAAAAGTGAATTTCGAAAGTGGAAAAGCACCACCTTTAAAGGTTAGTAGCATTAAAACAAAATTTGGAAATGAAGAATGAACCATATCCAGTTCAAAAGCCAGCAGAAAAATTCTTTCTACAAATGTTTTCATCTATATGTACTAGACATCCTCAGGTATTGACAATATTGAATTAATGGCTAGTCGAATATAACGTTTTTGAAAGTTCCATTTAACGACGTTATTCGAATATGATGCGTTAAAATTAAAATATGTAAAATATTTAAAACATATCCGAATAAATAATCAATTGATTTCACGTAGATCATGACATATCCTCCGTAATTTAAAATGTCTTGAATGCGCTTTTTATTTATTGGGATTTAATTCAAAAAATGCGCACCGTGCTACAAAAAGCGTATCGGTTTCTTTGAAATTAATACCGACCCCTTTTTTAATTGTTTTATATAGACGAAAACATTCGTAGAAAGAATTTTTCTGCTGGCTTATGAACTGGATATGGTTTATTCGGTGAGTCGGATATAATTAAAATTAAATAACCAGTTTTTTGAAATACAGTATATTGAAGAATGAATAAATATATTGTAAATGTAATTAATTATTTTGTTTTTAATTGTAGTCACGGCAGAAAGAAAATGATGTATCAAGTATCAAGAACCACAAAGGTTGTAATTGCTCTTATTCAGTCAACAATAATAAATTATATGATTGTTCTGATTGTACAGAAATTACAAGGTTGTCTTCATCAAATAACGAAATTGGAGGTAACAAAAATTACTTTATACATTTTTATACAAGTGTGTTCTGCAACATAAGGCCATAACTTTGGTAATAGGCTTATTACATTAAACACTAAATTTGCAGAAATTAAGCAGCAATGTGACTGTGGTGATATTCCTAATAAATTATCCACCGACTTGTACAATTAATAAAAATAGATTAAAAATATTTTCTAAATTATATCAAAATGAAATACATAATTATTTTTTTTACTTGTTATTTTAATTTTTAATAGATGGAGATGAAATATTTTCGATAACTTAAATATTTCTTTTCAGGAAATGAAGAAATAATTAAGAATGTCCTTACCGATAACCTCAACAAAGGGACTTATATGAAGAACTATTTTAATCGTGATAACTGCAAGAAAAATTATAAAGGAATTAGTAACTTAATTCCAAAATTTATTATTAAATTGAAATTATGCAGAAATCGAGTTTTGAAAAGGCATTTATTCATTTCGTCGAGAAAGAAGCTGGAGTGTTATATTTGCAAGAAGACATTTTCATATAGTATACTATACGGCAATCATCTGTTTGAACATTCCAATAAAAGAACTTACCCCTGTAATGTCTGTAAAAAACAGTTTTTCTTCAAATGTTATTTTGAGGAACACAAAAAATCACATATAGAAGGAACTCCGTTTTCTTGTTCAAAATGCAAGAAGAGATTTAAACTTTCATCTGAATTAGTAAAGCACAGGAAATATCATTTCAAAGTTAAATGTTGCTCGAAAGTCGGCCGCAACCTGTGCAAACGTTATGTAAAGGAAGTTAAGTCGAGAAAACTGAAGTATTCCAAAAATAGACTATTTCTGTGTGAGATTTGTGGGAAAATATTTCATTGTCAAAGTTATTTTGGGACCCATTTAATGTATCATTCTGATAAAAGGCCGTTTGAATGCAAATTCTGCAGAAAAAGTTTTAAGACAAAGGCTTGTTTGAAAGTACACAAAGAGTATCATTCCTATAAAATGCGTCATTCATGCAAACTCTGTGGAAAACAATATAAGACTAAATATAGCTTAAAACTACATCAGGATAGTCATAGCAACATAAGAGCTTTTCAATGCAAATTATGCACCAAATCATTTAACTTAAAATCAATATTAATTATGCATCAGAAGGTTCATTCAGATGTGAGGTCTTTCTTGTGTGAAATATGTGGAAAAACATTTAAGACCAAACAAAATTTAATACAACATCAGAAGAGTCATAGCAAAGAAAGGTCTTTTCCATGCAAGTTGTGCACCAAAACATTTAAACTGAGATCCATGTTGATGGGACATCAGAATCTTCATTTGGATGTAATGCCTTTCTCATGTGAAATTTGTGGAAAAGTTTTCAAATCACTGCTGTTACTAATTGAACACAATGTGCGTCATGCCAATAGCAAACCTTTTGAATGTGAAATTTGTCTGAAGCATTTTAAAGTGAAATCAACTCTAATATCACACATTAGAATGCATGCTACAAAAGCCTAAAGGTCCTGTGCGTGACATATGCAGAAAGAATTTTAAGCAGAAATCGAAGTTAAAAGATGCAGAGAAGAACCCATTTTAAGAAAAGGTATGAATTTTTTTAAAGGTGATTTAACTATGAACGAAAGAACTTGTTCTAAAGAAAGATTTCAGAAAGTTGATAAACAATCTTAATTTGTAAATTCCTGTTTTGTTGAAGTTTAAAATTAAAACAATTTATACATCATAATTTGGGTATAAAATGTTAAATTCAAATATTACAGATATGTCATGCTAACCTTGTATAGCTTTGCAGTTGCTACTTAAAAAATGTAACACAAATGTTTTTGACACACTTCTAGGGTCTTCCTCAGATGTTTTATAATTTTTCTGGTGTGATTCCGATTTTTAACTGTTCAGGTCTCCAATGCTTCTATCTTTCGAATTTATTTTTTTAAATTTCAAAATTCGAATTTCCAAACAATGTGCGCCTGCACCAGTTGTTATAGTGTTGCGTTATAAATAGCCTGACATACTCTTGATATCCATTTTGTGATTGGAGCTTACTCTAATGAAAAAATAGCCTACAGATGTAAGCCAGATACATTTGACATGTTGAGAAATGAGAAAGGTCAGGCTGAATTTGAAAGAACACCAGGAGTATATAAAATCCTGTTAAAGGATAAAAGATTGACTAGGGACCTCAAATATGTTGGATCTACAAAAAGATCGCTCAAACAACACCTCTGTGAGCACAAAACAGACATCGGAAAAAAGAAAAGCAATACCGCCTTAGTGATATATTTCAATGAAAATGGCATTACTGTATACCTAACCTACAACAAGGGACAATGATTCGAGAAACCTGACATATAAACCAACTACAAAATCTGGAGGTATTAGAAATTTTTATAGTGGACTGCAAAGGCATGTCAATTAATTTTAAAGAAGAAAAACAACTATCAAGAGCATGGTAGACTTGGTAGACATGGTAGACTATTTATGATGCAGTGCTATTACAACTGGCACAAGCGCATATTGTTTGGAGATTTGAATTTTGAAATTTTAAAAATAAATTCCAAAGATAGAAGCGTTGGAGACCTGAACAGTTAAAAATTGGAATCGCACCAGAAAAATTATAAAACACCTGAGGAAGACCCTAGAAGTGGGTCAAAAACATTTTTGTTACGTTTTTTAAGTAGCAACTGCAAAGCTCTATAAGATTAGTACAATGTATCTGTAATTATCGCTTTGCTTGTTGGATGGATTTGATTAAAATATTACATTTATCTGACTCTGGAAGTGCAAAACCTACATGTTTCCTAGTTGCATCTGTGGCAAAGTTGTTTGTAACTCAAAATATTTCTACTTAGCTTTATTTTCAAATGAATTTTTGTCACTCACTTTATAATATTTGTGTAGAAATCGCTGAACGGACAAACTGATTGTTTTAGTTGCTCTTAAGAACCTCTGTTCAAGTCAAATGAGAATCCTCAAGTTATCAGGAATGAACATTTTGATTCAGATAGGACCTTATTAATTAAGACACTCCATTGTGTGGTTGAATTCCTAATATTAAGAAAGGTCTTTTCATATGTAGAGAGCATAAATGATAAATAATTATTTCCTTGCCATGAGATTCATTTTAAAATTTGGTTCCCTTTTTTGTTATTTCTGTTCTTTTGTTTTAATTGTTCTCTTTTAGTTAAATCCATCAAACACATCATTGCTTTTTCTAGAAATCTCAAGGTATCTTTAGAAAAAAATTAAAAATCACTAGAGATACTGATTCAAGTAGTAAAGAGTTTGTGTATTTTTTACATATCAGTATGTTCTATAATAAATTTTTCTATATATACAGTAAGACCCTGCTTAACACTGCCTCGCTTAATGCTGATTCGATATAACACAGTCTGCTCAAAGCCTTTTTAGGCTTCGAGCAGACTGTGTTATATCGAAAGCTCAAAATTTATGCTGATTTAAATTATCATGGCATTTCATTGATTCGTATATAATACAATTATTTGTGAATACAAACCAATCAGCAAAAGGTGACAAAAAGAATCTTTAAATTTATGTTTGTTTGGTGCAATTTTGGAAAAAATATAACATTATAGATGCCATAGGAAATATCAACTTTACTTGGCAAGAATTAACTGATAAATGCACAAACTAAGTGTGGAAGAAGTTATGGCTGAAGGTATCCAAGAATTCTCAACGAGAAGAGTCTATCGCTGTATTTTTAGGTTGACCAAACTCAACTTAATCAATAAAGCAGGACTAGGAGATATAAACAAGCAGAATATTGAGGAGTTACAGCAGGTTTCTGGTGAGAGCTTTACCAACGACAACCTTCAAGAACTGGCAGAAGAAGGAATACATATAGAACTGGAAAATAAAGATTTTGAAAACAAAGAACCCAAAAAAAATTCTCTACAGATTTCCTTAGTAAAACTTTGGTAAGATAACTGAAATTGTTGATGAAATTGTAGCAAATGGTCCTGATTTTGAAAGGAGTGCAAAAGCAAAACGAGGCATTTTGGATGCAATCTTCGGCTACCGACATTTGCTTAAGGAAAGAAAGCAGTGACGAATGAAACTTCACGACTTTATTGCAAAAGAACAAGAATTTCAGAAAAGTCAGGACCTTCATCACAAAAAATGAACTTTACATTTCTGTGTGCATATGTTTGTGTTATTTAACATATATTATTATACAAATTAATATAAAAATAACTTAAAATTAAAGTAAAATTTCTTTATTTTTGGTTGCGTGTTTTTCCTATCCCTATTTACTCTATGTTAAAATGACCTCGTTTAATGCTGTTTCGCTTAGCACTTTGTTGTCTAGGAACGCATCCCCCGCATTAAGAGGGAGGGGTCTTGCTATATGACTGGAGATAATTGCTCCTAGAGTCATATGGATGATTTTACTATAACACATCAGCAAACTGTTGTGAGAGATCCAAATTCTAATGTAATCTGTCTCATAATTTCTTCCAGATATTTCAAGTTAGGCTATTATTCTTTGAATACAGGTGTGAGAGATCAGACTCTCGGATAATTAATTTGATTGTCAATACAATCTTCTATGTGTTGGTGTCTTGCATTTTCAAATTTTGTATAGGCTGTAAAGCAGGGGTGTCCAACCTTTCTGTTTCTCTGGGCCACATTGGAAGAAGTCATGGAGTTTTGGGCCACAAGTATATTTTGACCCGATCCTTAAATATACAAGTATATTTAAGTATTAACATGTCTAGATTATAGTAATAAGTATTAAAAGTTTACCACAAAAAAGAATATTTTTAAAAATTGCTTTTACGTGTTCAATTTTTATTTAGAAATAAATGAATTCATTTATTATAAAGGAGACAAACAAAAATTTATTTGAAAAACACAAATATTTGTTTTATTTGGGTCTCTAATTAATAAAAAGCGACAAAACAACATTTTAAAGTGCATTTTTATTCAACTAATATATTTATAAATAATATGTAGCCCAAAAAGTAGCCAATGTGCCAACTGATATTTTTTACATCAAACTAATAAAAGGGTAGCCAAATTTGGCGCAAAGTAGCCGAATCTTGCAACGCTGGAAGGAATACTATATAAAGCTGGAGTTGAGATTCAAAGAATTATAGACTCAATGCGGGGAAAGGAGAGAGAGGACAAAAGATAAAGAAGTGAGGAAGGTTGGAAAATTAAGGGTCCATATTGCATAACAGGAGGTCTATTTAACCTTTCTTATTACTTTTTATCTTTAGGTCTTATTCTCCTTTCCCCTGAATTTGAGTTTATACTCCTTTGAGAGGCAACTCCATTTTATTTAGTGTATCTTCCTCATTCACACATTTCTAAGTATTTGAAAATATTTCTTTTCCACTAAAAATTAAAATATGTATAAAGGTTTACGGCTTTGTGAAACTTTTTTTTTGAGTTGATGCCATTGAAATAAATAAATAAATAAATAATTAAAAAATTTTCGGTTTTGTGTACACGTTTATTGGGCTGCATTCAAACTTCCCTTGGGCCACATGCAGCCCGCGGGCCGCGGGTTGGACACCCCTGCTCTAAAGTATGTTTTAATTGTAAACTCCAACAAAGAATGCTGAATGATCTCTGCAAAAAATTTAATATTTTCTGACGTAATTCAAGTTTTCCAGTGAAGAAATAGAAAGGAAGTAAAGTCATGAGAAAAGTCAGCAGTGCAACCAACTCCTTGCTAGTATTTCGTTTTTTCAAGTGACATCCAATTTGTTGGGCTATTACTTAGTTTTATTTTCTGCTATAGAAATCTGGAAGCCAAGGTCAAAAGACATGGGTTTGAACATTGGCTGGCTCGTGAACTTTCAGAGTGATCTGGCTGGATAGGTCACATCCTGTACTTTGACAAGTAGGTACGTGCTCTGGGAGAAGTGTTTAAAGTGCTTTGGAATTGTCAAATTTCATTAAATTATCCCTTCATTAAAAGAAGATCCATTTTATATGAAGCTTTTTGAGAGAAACATATCATCATCATCATCATCATCAGGTTATTCTGACTAAAGAAACAAAATGTAAGAGAACTAAATATGAAACTGAGCTGTGAATAACAATAATTATTATTATTCAGTTTCATATCAGTTGTTCATGTTTTCTATTTATGTAAGAATTAAAATTATATATAATAAAATAATATTTTTCTCCACTTTTTGTTGTATTCACATTAGCAATTACAGTAAAAGGATATCAAATAACCAAGTATTAATATATTCAGGTTATAACTATGTATGAATTTCAGATTTTTATAAAGATTGCATGTTAATTGGGTGTTTGCAAGTGTGGATTTCTGAGTGCATTGTCCTCCATCCAGCAATGCGATGCATGGTACTACATCCATCTCCTTTGGTATTTGCCTAGAAGTAAATTCATCTTATACTTTATGAAAATTCAATACTGTTTTTATTTTTCTATGTAACTCTTTGTGTTGTTTCATGCATAAACATATTTGCTACTGTCCTGCTGCATTTTGTGTCAATCACAGCTGTATTTGTCAATTTTTTCGCAGTTTATTGCTCCGTGCTTTTGGCAGTGAGTGTAATAGTACTTAAGTATATAAATTTTTTCTTAAGTTAAAAATAGTTATTATTGCTTCCATTTATTTATTCCTGCTTATTTTTGGATAGAACCACTCAAAGTGCGTGAGACTTATCTTCAGTCTTCTTTTTAAGGCTTTTCCCATGTTTTTATGGTTAGATCTTTGACAATCCTCAAAATTTTTGCATGTTGAAAATAAAGCAATGCTACTTCAATGTAATCTAACCTTTTTATTTATTAAACAAGGGTTCTAGAATGCAAGATTTTGTTTGAGAAAAGGGCTGGGGCTAAAAGTACAGTACAGGTATCAAATTAATGCTTTTAACCCTGTAGATGATGCCTTAGAAGAACGATTTCAGAAAGGTAGAGGTGTGGGGAGTGACAAAATGGTGTGATTCCCTTTCCCTATGGGAAGGGAATCACACTTGTGTGGCATCTAGTAATTTAGTTTTTTAACTATTAAAACAACCTGTTGCTTGTTCCTACCATGAATTCTTGCTTATTTTGCATTAATTAAGACGTGTTCCATTGCTTTTAAACACTAATCTATCCGCGTAAGTAATAAAATAAAATTAGTTCAAAAATAAAAGTCATTCTTAGACTATTTTAACTTTTTAGAATAAAATAAACAAGTGTGTATTAGGCTGTGTACACAGTAGGCGTTTTTCAACGCGCGTTTTAAAGAACCAAGAGTTCAATATAGGCGTACATACTCAAACGCCAAGCGCGCGTTTATAGATTTTTGTTAAAACCCCCCCTTTTTTCGAGCGCTTTACGGGCGCTTTGAGATATATGTGCTGCCATGTTACCATACATGCGATCGCGCGTTTTGCGGGCGACAGCCGAGCGCTTTGAGATATATGTGCTGAAATGGAGAACGATCATTTCGATACTGATCTATTTATTGATGAAATCTAAAAGAGACCAACCATCGTCAAAGGATTTTATAGATATTTTAAAAGAATTAAAAAACTTGGGTACATTTTGTCTTAGTTTTGGATACAACGTCGCAAACATTTCATGCATCAGTCTATCTCGTAATATTGGGTGCACCCAAAATTCTCTTTGCCTCTGCCGTCGTCTTTTATAGCGACGATAGAGGAGCCACACACAAGCAATCACTTCCACATCCATTTCCAAACCCAGCCAGTGCGCACGCTCCGCTAAACGCTCGTCGAACGCCGAGCTAACGCGCGTTGAAAAACGTCTAGTGTGTACAGGCTCTTAGGTACAGTCACGCTAATCCGAACTAATTGAACCAGTAGTTAGGATTAACAGCAGTATGATAGTAAGGATATGATGTCTATATTTTGAACCCATTTTTTCTGTTATAAGATACTTTATAGCATCAAGTAGAGGTCTTAATTATTTTTATGTCAATGAGAATCACAGAAAGAACGAGCATAAATGCTCACATCACAACACGTGAATTATGTTTATACGTGAGTGCAAGTGTACACTTAACAAGTCCATTATTTTAGTTAGAGAAAAATAAATGCAATTACTTTTCAACATTAAAAGACAAAACTTTTAAATAAATCACTTGTATCTTGTATTGGCTATTTGGGCATGAGCTTCTAGGTTATATTGCCCCTTAATAAAGTGTGATGTAATTGTCATGTGATGGCAGTTNCCCATAAAAACCTCCCAGGAGGCATTCCCCTTTGGCAGATTGCCCATGGTTTGCGTACGAATAAAACCGAACCAATCACTATGAATATCTAAAAATAAATTTAAAATATATTGCTAGGAATTCACAAAATATTTGAAATCTGCAAGTTTCACGAGTATTATTAGAATGAATTGAAAAGTACTTACTGTAGAATTTTTATTTATTTGAGTATCGGGTATAATGTCAAATAGAGTATTATTTGTAATACATCAAACTTTTGCCAATATTAAGGCATTTAGTTATCCAGTATACCTTTTAGTGTAATCGCTTATTAGCTTACGCTATCACAGGTTTACATCACTTATTGTATTCAGGCATTCACACTCGCTAATCCGGCACATACAATGGATGACCGTGTTATCGAGAGCACATTGTATGTAAATATTGTTTTTTCTATACAAAATATTTCATAAAAGCCATATTCTATTTTTTTCTTTTCATATGTGTATAAAGTATTCTTAAAGGTTTTCGAATTACAGTAGATCCCCCTATAAAACCGTTTCCTATAGTTATGATTCCTATAAAAATTGTGGCAGTATCCGTAAACAACGGTAAAAATAACTCCTATAATACGTAAAACGTCATCGGGCAGCCGAACTACTTTCCCGCCGTCCGTAGCGCCACGCTANAGTTAAGAATTCAATACCATAAAAATCTCCAAAAATTAAAATAACATGAAACATTTTTTATAGGATAAAATATTGAAAGCAATCGCAAATTGAAATTTTCAGTGGTTTTCGAAATATGAATTTTGAATTAATTATAATTTAAGTTTTCGTTCATCCGCAAAGTTCCATCGAAAAAAGCAATATACGGAGCTCATCATGGTCCACCAAGTTTGACCAACTGCAATTTCCTCCAAGAAATAACTAATTTAGTCTACGCGTGAAGATAATAGTCCAAACTCGGTGGGTCGTAATGGCGCCCCACCTTATAATACAAAATTCAATTTCGAATTTTTTTGAGTAAATATTCGATATATCTTTAAGTCGTTCAATTTTAATCTACTATTGTCTGCACGACATGCAAACATATTCATTATTGACTTAGTACACTAGTGCAAATAGACTACATATTTAAGAAAATTAAAATTTCTGAAATTAAATAGAGTTTTAANCGTGGGGAGAGATAAGTTTTATTTTAGTTTTTTTTTTAATGTTAATGCTAATTACGAGTAAATTAAGTCCGATCTCACTCCAGATATAACACGTGATTCTTCTGTCTTCCACATTCTTATCCTTTATCCTCCAAAATTTAATAGCATCATTGCCTCTTATATACAAGATTTTAAACGAGATATAAGTCAAAACACACACACACACACGTCTGCAGAATTTTCCCGTATATTTCACATTTTTGGATTCGGGAGGTCTTTGACATGGTGATTTGCAAGAAATTCGGAGGGTCAAATTTAATACTATTCCAATACTTTCCCGTGTTACAGACCGGAAAAGTAAAACAAATGCGAAGTCATTCTTTTTAAATCAATTATTATTTCTATTTCAGATACCAAATATGAACTCACCAANATTTATTTTTATAAAATGGCAAAAAACTTAATTTCGTAGGGACAGATAAGTTTTATTTTAGTTTTTTTTTAAATGTTAATGCTAATTACGAGTAAATTAAGTCCGATCTCACTCCAGATATAACACGTGATTCTTCTATCTCCCCACATTCTCATCCTTTATTCTCCAAAATTTAATAGCATCAGTTCCTCTTATATACAAGATTTCTTTACTTATTTACTCCAGCCAGAGATTTTAAACGAAATAGAAGTAAAAAAAACACACACACACACACACGTCTGCGGAATTTATTCCCACATTTTTTACGTTTTTGGATTCGGGGGGTCTTTAAACATGGTGATTTGCAAGAAACTCGGAGGGTCAAATTTCATACCATTCCAATACTTTCCCGTGTTACAGACCGGAAAAGTAAAACAAACGCGAAGTCATTCTTTTTAAATCAATTATTATTTCTATTTCAGATACCAAATATGAACTCACCAACAATTGTTAATGTAAGAAGTGATTCAGAAGAAATTGGGGAAGAGATATTAAAATTTTGGCGACCATTGCTGAAGAGTATGGCGTTATTAGGATTAAATTACAATAAAAACGGTTTCAATGCTTACAACATTACCATATTGATTATAATTAAGGTTTATATTCTCTACATTTTAATTGTATTTTTTCATAATTTCAATACACTTTGGTCTTTTTTCACAACCTTTACAGAATTTATGCTCATTGTTTGTAGTTTGATGTCTTTGTTTTCGATTTATAATTTTCTCATCAATAAGAAAAAACATTTTCGTAATATAGAAACGTTGCCTTTTCCTGCAAGATTTAAGTATTTTTCTCGTCGAGAACACAAAATTTTGTCGATTAAAGTAGCAATTATTTGGATTCAGGGTATAGGAATTCAAATAGTTTTTCAAATCCTTAGTCTGTATAACGATAGAGATTCTGACACACTGCACGTGAGAGAATTATTCGGTTATGAAATACCAAAATCATTATCTCTTGCATTTCTCTTGATATTTGAGTTAGTAGATACGATTTGTTTTTATATAACTCAAAACTTTCTCTTCTTTTTCTTTTCTTCCACATGCAAATTAATAGAAAACTGTATCAACCAGTTGACGCACAAGATGTGTACGTGTGAAGAATTTGCAAAGGAAATATACTCGATTCCAAATTTGTACATGAAGATAAAAGAAATAGTAGAAGCCATTGAAGGAAACTATTCATGGATTTTCTTTCTTTGGACATCCGTTTTAGGAGTTTACTTAACAATAAGCCTATGCAATTTTGTACCTTCGGTCAACATTGGTAAATTTCAAGCAATTTCCTTTTTCTCTTACTGTATTTTTTCATTTATATTATATGCTGATGTTTGCATCAGTGCTTCGAGAGTAACTGAATCTGCTGCGAAATTTTCGTCCATAATCTATAAAAAATCGCTGTCTTGCAACGACAAACACATCCAAGAATATGCGTGCAGATTTTCTTCTAAATGCTTAGAAGAATTGCCTTCGTTTTCTGCTTGCAATGCCTTTAAAATAAATCGAACCCTAATCTTGACCATCGTTAGTATTGCTATTACTTATACAGCTATTGCTAGTCAATATGCTTGAAAAATTTTCAAATTCCGTATCAAAATAATATCATATAATCAATTGAGCACTGGTTTGATAGTCATGGTACTAAATCTAATACAAATTTTATCCTCAATATAGAAGAATACTAATGTAATTGTATTGAAAATAAGTCACTGCATTTATAGTATGGTATAAAAAGANTTTTATATTGTTCGTTTTCTTATTATTTTCTATATATGTTACTAATACTTCTTTTTGTTCTTCGTTTCTTTTTTAAAATAAAATATTGGAGGTTTCCATTTTGCTATAGGACAAAACTTTTAACTATAACACGTGTAAACTAATTCACGTTGATTTGTTTACAACTTGTTACAGTAAAGTTGATTGGTCGAATCAGTATAGTCGCAAACCCAGATGCATTGTAAATAATCCCATCATGCTTAACGATACACGTAAACAAGTGAATATGACCTACTTCCGCTCGCCTTTCGAGCTCGCTCGATGGGTCTAACTCGAGACTACCGATTATGTGAGTCACAGTAACACGAGTCAATTCGAGTACAACACGAAAAACTCGACACTAAGAGCCCAGGAGAGAGACGAATTCATGACTGAACGCCCAGTGTTCAGGGAATGGAACCATTTGGCCACTGGTGGGCCAATAAATCACTTATCAATATTGATTGAAGCGTCATCTACTAACTTTTAGTGCCAATCTGTTTTTAGTTTACAGTTACTCCACGATGGGAGAAAAATGTGATTCTAATCTTGGAATTCATTATTGCAGTGTACCAGTTGATGCCATAAAAACTGATTACATACAAGTAAAAGTTAAGACTATTATCATCATCATACAGTAAGGCATTTGAAGAAAATCTAGCATCGAGTTGCATAACTTTCCTGGTTGTTATGAGATTTTACTTTAATAATAACTTTTATATTATTAGTTGTAATAAATAAAATTGTGTGGTACCATCTGTTAGGAGATTTTTAGAAACGTTTTATATTATTTATTCATAAGATAACAAAAAAGCTTAATTTTAAGGATAATGATTAGTTTTAAAAACTTTTTACCTCATCTTGAGAGATTAAATTAAATTAATGTAAACACAAAGAATCTTTTTTCGATATTTTGAGTTTGCAAATTTCCACATTTTGAGATGTAATGGGTAGAAAAATATCTCCTGCCTTCTTGGCATCCTTGAGGCTCTCACTCCACCAGTTGAGCTTAGAGCAGTGTTTGATTTTTATCAATATCTAGTTACGAACTTCTTACAATGGAGCCGGTGGCAAGGATGTATGTAGGGGCATCATGAAGAGATAAGGCTAGTAGGATTTGGGTTATAGTCCAAAGAGATGTGGTCATTCATGTTGTCATTCAAATATAAGAATGAGTGTGTTCACGCCCACTTGTTATATGTCCATATTGTTTATTGTAGTGATTTCATTGTTTTTATTTTATTTTCAACACACAAATGATTGGTATTTTTAAAAGAAAACACGTGGTGGTTTTAAAACAACACGTACCCCATACACACAGAAAATTGAGAGAATTGTGACGAAAAATTGCAGCCCGGCATTGTAACAATGTTAAAATAAATAATTGTTATCAATTTGGTATCAGCAAAGTTTGAACCATAAATCCAAAAATAGCCTATAATTTATTTATAATTTTTTCACGTATTTGTATATTATCAGAAGACAAAATTTCACATAATCCAAATAATGCAATGAAAAGTCCAAGAGAAAACTGACGATAATATTTCGATTCTATCGAAAAGTTAAGAATTTAATACCATAAAAATCTCCAAAAATTAAAATTACATGAAACATTTTTTATAGGATAAAATATTGAATGCAACCGCAAATTGAAATTTTCAATGATTATCGAAATATGAATTTTGAATTAATTATAATTTAAGTTTTCGTTCATTCACAAAATTCCATCGAAAAAAGCAATATACAGAGCTCTTCATGGTCCACCAAGTTTGATCAACTGCAATTTTCTCCCAAGAATTGGATAATTTGGTCTTCGCGTGATAATAGTAGTCCAACTCGGTTGGTCGTAATGGCGTCCCCACCTTATAATAAAAAATTCAATTTCGAATTTTTTGAGTAAATATTCGATACATCGTTAAGTCGTTCAATTTTAATCTACTATTGTCCGCACGACATGCAAACATATTCATTATTGACTTAGTACATTAGTGCAAATAAACTACATATTTAAGAAAATTAAAATTTCTGAAATTAAATAGAGTTTTAAATAGAGGGTCTTTCTTTTTTGTATGGGACAATTGTTATCATGTTATAGTTTAACCAAAATAAAAAATTTCGTACTTACCAATCAGAAAACCAAGCATTTGCACTAACAACATTGTTTACCTCACAGTAGAACTATACAGCATTTATAAGGTGAATATTTATCGTATTACCAAAGATAGTCATTGCTTAATTAAGATTCTTTCCAATAGACTTTAAAAGAGCGTATTTAAAGTGTTAGTAGTTCAAGGTGAGTTCAAATTTAAATTGAAATAATCATTACGAGACCACCAGTGGGAGAGTGGATAAAAACCATTAAACGCTGGTAGTTGGTTGTGGGTTCATACCTCTCCAACGGACTATCCACGTATAGTTTTCCTGCGTTTCTTCACGTAATATCACCTAAATAAGGGCCATTTTCCCTTAAAAAACTTCCCAGGAAGCATTCCCCTTTGGAAGATTGTCCATGGTTTGCATACGAATCAAACCGAACCAATCACTATGAGTATCTAAAAATTTAAAATATATTGCTAGGAATTCACAAAATATTTGAAATCTTCAAGTTTCACGATTATTATTCATGAGGTAGAAGAATGGAATTGAAAAGTACATATCTGTAGAATTTTTATTTATTTGAGTATCGGGTATAATGTCAAATACAGTATTATTTGTAATACATCAAACTTTTGCCAATATGGCATTTAGTTATCCAGTATACTTTTCAGTGTAATCGCTTATTAGCTTGCGCTTTCACAGGTTCACATCACTTATTGTATTTAGGCATTCACACTCGCAAATCCGGCTTATACAATGGATGAACGGAATATCGAGAGCACACTGTATGCAAATATCCTTTTTTCTATACAAGATATTTCATAAAAGCCATAATTATTCCGTTTGTTTCTTTTTATATGTATATAAAGTATTCTTGAAGATTTTTGAATTACTTCTGAAAATTTATCATTTCTATTGCAATAATTTTGGAAATGCTATTTTATGTAAATATGCAATTTTAAATAAATTTCTATGCAAAATGACTTCAATTTCAAATTGCTCCACAAAGTCTTCAATAATATGATAGCTATTGTAATATAGCTTTTAGGGGAGCTATATTTATGTTTTGTCAGATTTTTTGTTTTTCTAAAAGGTTACTTCGATGCATGGTCTGATTAACCTCTTACAGACTGTAGAATTCGACATGCCTTTCGAGACATATTAAATTTTATACACAAAATCTGGTATAATAGCTGATAAATACTGGATTTAGTATATGTCTCTTCAATCCGAATGGTTAACAAACGGTAGACTTTCTTTCAGCTCTGAGGTTAAGTATTCCTTTATTGTAAATTACATATGCATTTCAGGCTTGTATGAGCCCCTCTTCAGTGTAAATTCTCAGATGGTTGAGTAACACACTTTAAAAAATTGTATGACATCAACAATGACACATTTTGACAATTTCAATTTCACAATTACTTCATATGACACATTTGTTACAGTTTCATAACTGTAACAAATGTGTCATATGAAGTAAAAAATTATAAGACCATGGATAAAAAATAAGCACGTTTGAGAATTATACTCATATACGATTGTTATTCATGTGTTTCGTTGGTAATAATGTCATTGTTGATGTCATACAATTTTTTAAAGTGTGTTACTCAACCATCTGAGAATTTACACTGAAGAGGGGCTCATACAAGCCTGAAATGCATATGTAATTTACAATAAAGGAATACTTAACCTCAGAGCTGAAAGAAAGTCTACCGTTTGTTAACCATTCGGATTGAAGAGACAAATACTAAATCCTTAAATTTTATAGTCTAAGTGGTTTATTCGGTGATAAAAATCAATAATATGCTGTCAATTGTACGAGTTTCAACTGATATTATTAATCGTTATCTATACATTTGTTCGTATTCTTATGGATTGTTCAAATACTAGTGTTTGAATGGCTTTTATCATTCGCCCTCCACCATCGTGAACGTGGCCGAAACCACGACGGTTATAGGAGAAAATATCTTAGTGCCCACAGAGTAAAAACACAGAAATGAAATTAAATAAATCCAGCAACCAGTTTCGTAACTTTCCAGGCGAAAAGCAATAACATAAGACTTAATAGCACGAAATAAAAATTGTTTGTAACGCTATCTATTTTAGATTTTGTTAAAAAATAACTTTTATATTATTTATTTTTATAAAATGGCAAAAAACTTAATTTCGTAGGGACAGATAAGTTTTATTTTAGTTTTTTTTTAAATGTTAATGCTAATTACGAGTAAATTAAGTCCGATCTCACTCCAGATATAACACGTGATTCTTCTATCTCCCCACATTCTCATCCTTTATTCTCCAAAATTTAATAGCATCAGTTCCTCTTATATACAAGATTTCTTTACTTATTTACTCCAGCCAGAGATTTTAAACGAAATAGAAGTAAAAAAAACACACACACACACACACGTCTGCGGAATTTATTCCCACATTTTTTACGTTTTTGGATTCGGGGGGTCTTTAAACATGGTGATTTGCAAGAAACTCGGAGGGTCAAATTTCATACCATTCCAATACTTTCCCGTGTTACAGACCGGAAAAGTAAAACAAACGCGAAGTCATTCTTTTTAAATCAATTATTATTTCTATTTCAGATACCAAATATGAACTCACCAACAATTGTTAATGTAAGAAGTGATTCAGAAGAAATTGGGGAAGAGATATTAAAATTTTGGCGACCATTGCTGAAGAGTATGGCGTTATTAGGATTAAATTACAATAAAAACGGTTTCAATGCTTACAACATTACCATATTGATTATAATTAAGGTTTATATTCTCTACATTTTAATTGTATTTTTTCATAATTTCAATACACTTTGGTCTTTTTTCACAACCTTTACAGAATTTATGCTCA